CCGCTGCTCCACCTCCCCGCCGCCGCGCTCCCGCCGCCTGGCACCGGCGCCGGCGGGGACCCGCTCCTCCGCCTCGCGCCCTCGCTCCGCGCGCTCGCGTCGCGCCTCGACCCGCTCCCGCTCGCGCTCTCCTCGCTCGCCGCGCTCCCGGCCTCCGCCTCCTCCTCCCCGCACGACAACGTCCTCTTCCTCGCGCCCACTCCGTCCGCCGCCCTGCTCGGCCTTCACGCGCAGCTCTGCGAGCTGCTGCGGAAGGACGCTAGCGTCGAGGTCCCCGACGCCTTCCGGCCCGACCACTGGCTACCGCGGTGCGCCGTCGCCGTCGACGTGCCCCGCGGCCGCATGGCCGAGGCCTTCTGCGTGCTCCGAGAGCTCAAGCTGCTCCCCGTCTCCGGGTACGGGATGGACATCGCGCTCGTTGAGGTCGGGCCCACCGTTAGGGAGGTCGTGTCCTACCCGCTTGGCGGCAGCGGCAGTGCTGGAGCCGACTGAGAGGTGAGATACTCTTCGACTGGATCTTGATCTCACTTCTCAGTTCCAAATCCTGTGATCTACTTACATTTAGTGCTCTGATTTGATAGGAGCCTCTAAACTTGATACTAAACCGATTTAACAATTGACATGGGTAGTATGCTAGTATGCAATCAACTAGGAGCTTGATGAGATTGCTTGACGACAATTGAATTAGAGTGGACTAATCAGGAGTGGAAGAATCCTAGTTAAGCAACTTGCTGCTAGTTCCTTTTATCTTATGGGTGGTAACAAAATCTACTCCTAAATGCTTTACAAGAAGCATTCCTTAACTTGATACTGATTCTTTGCCAATTTAGCAATTGACATGGTAGTATGCAATCAACTAGGAGCTTGATGAGATTGCTTGGCCGGCGCTTGAATTAGAGTGGACTAATCAGGAGTGGAAGAATCCTTAGTTAAGCAGCCTGCTACTAGTTCCTTTTATCTTAGCGATGGTAACAAAATCTGCTCCTAAATGCTTTACAAGAAGCATTCCTTAACTCCTGCATTACATTTGTAGCTTGCAACGAAGGGAGTAACAAATGATATTTACTGACTTGCACAATTGTATATCACTTACAGTCGCCAGTTTGCTCTAACAGATACACTGCTTAACTGCATTGGTTTTATGATATTATAAGGACATACAATATGTTTATAGTGCTAGTTTGTCGTAAGGAAAGGGAAAAAATAGATACCTTCTTCCTTCAAAATATCTCAGGTTCATAAACATTGAGTCTGTACACTGATGGTTTCAATCTGTTGGCACAGGCGCACAGCACTCCACTAGGGTAAGATATAATTCCAGGTGCATGTGTAGTGTCCCAAATATTTGAATTCTTCCAAACAAAAATGTCAATAATTCGGTCCAAGCAATCTGTTAGTAAATTGGAAAACTGCTTGATATTTAATTCCATGCGATAAAGTAAAAAAAAATGGCAGTGAGGTAATTTGTAACGCTAGTCAAGTGGGCTGATCAAATTCAAACTCCTGCACATAGACATCTATCTTGATAAAAAAATGTGAACTTGAGACAATTGAAGTACCATCGAAGTGTGCAGTGAGCCCCCTGTTTTATACCAAGATGATCTTCTTATTGCCTGATTTTCTGCCATCTGCCTACCACCCATGGAAAGTTTACACCTAAATAGAACTTTGCTTTTTTCATTCCTGGGAAATATGAGCTGGTCACTGCTCTCTGAAACCGTGACTGACATTCTGGTAAGGGATAATTTTGTTTATGCCCTTAAGAGACACCTATTTTTCAATTCATGTGCCTATTATTTTCATGTCTCTTGTTTAAAATCTTCTGTTAGGTCCATTTTATTTTGGTCACAACTGTTCATCTGAATTTTCAGAAAAGACTGACATCCATGCTCTCTTCCGGCTCATGTTGCCACAGTGCCCACCTCCACCTCCCACTGTTTCCAAGGCCAATCCATGTTTTAGCTTACTATACCGTATGCCGCTGCTCACATCCATTTTCATCCCAAGGATCCAAGCAATTGTCTGGTAGTTAGTAGCAGCAGGAGTGTAATATCATCGCTGATGCAGGTTGGCTGCGACATGATATGTGGAGTTGTTCGCATCTTTGTATGCGGCAGTGGTCGCTACTAAAGTTGGGACGGTGGTAGCTGGATCAAGATTGCATTATAACATTTCTGCAGAATCTAAGATTGGTTCTGTTTATCTTGGCTCTTTTTCAAATGATGAGAATGAGAACCACTACAAATCAAATCACAGTCTCACCCTGTCACCCACACACTTTGACTGGGATTTTGTGGGCACTGCTGGAGTTGGGAGGTGTGGCCATGCCCATGGGATCTTAGCACAGGAGAGTTGGATGGTGGCATTGGTGGGTTCTGATAGTACTGATGCAATGGCTGAACACTGGAGCTGCAGTGGAGTGGAGGAAAGGGTTATGTCGAGAATGGCATCTATGGGAGGGAAGGATTTTTTTTCTTAACATATCAATAACAAATGGATGAAAAATAGGAAAAGTATAAGAAACAATCGCAAAATTGTAATGATGAGCATTGGGTCCTGTGAGTATATTTCTTCTCGTTGCAGTTCCATACCTTGTAGTTATATAGTTTTCAGTGATTATTGAGCTAGGAAATTGGACCCAAGCATGTTTTGTAGTAACTCTTGGCCTAGTTGACCTCTACATCAAAAGGAGTCAAAATAGTCACTGAGAAAGCGAGCATAGTCCTAATAACTAATGTGTCATTTGATTCCCTTAGGTTTATAATATAATTACGATCTCGTAGTGTATCAAGAAACAAATTTGAAGTCTTAATACCAAATTGTCAAGTAACACCCTAAATCCAAATTTCTAAGCACAAAAATTGTAGCATTCTACCACCAAACAAAGTATATTGCCTGTCATGGCCTTTAATATTGTATCTTCACATTTTAGAGGTTAGGCGTTGGCAAATAACAAACTGACATTGTACATGTCATCCTTGTAGATATGATGTGGCTGTTTGCTTTGAATCAAAAGTATACTAGTAATTGATATATGTAATGCAATGTCAAAGGTAGTATGATTATGCAAGCAAATTATGTATTCCCTTCCTTTCTTTTTTGCTTGTCGTCCTAGAATGTGCACTTGAACTTTGAAAACTAAACATGGAAGGATTTGGATTTCTCAGATGGAGGCAAGGGGTGCATGGGTGAATTACGTATCGCAAGATCATTTTATGTCATTTTTCCTTGTTGTAGTCTTTAAAACAACTAATGAATTTACAACACTAATGTTCCAGTGGTCAAAATGTGAGACAAGGACTTTTCTGTTGATATTCTATTTTCAGATTATGTTTAACAGTACACATTTAATGTTCTTCACCACTCAAATGGTAAAGTTTGTGTGCTTGATCAGCCAGGGCACTTTCAAGCAATAATTCTATCATGCAGTTCTATGGAAGTGATCTTCCGGGTTAATCTAATGCATGGCTATCTTTCAGGTCCTGTTGTATTTTGTACCATATCTTGATCATGGATGGACAATCATACTTAACAAGGACATCATAGTCGTACAATTTGCCTTCTTCAGAGGAGCTACATTTGGGAGAAGGCTGGACCATACTGTGTCCTAACACATACAGTATTTTGTTTAATGATTTCTTTAATCTTTTGGTTGATAATGTATTTGATGTCCTCTCCCTCCATTGTAGACTCTTCACATAGTATCACTTGTCCTCGAGTTTACTGTAATGAACTGTCAGTTGTGTTCATGTGCCCTGAAAACCAGTTGTGCTGTCTTCATTCGTTCGCTCAACTGATTTGTTTACATGACTCATCTATGTTTTGATGCCTTCTTTTGTAGCCATTTTTGGAAATAGGCTGCAATGCAGGTGTTCGTCCTTACCTCCTTGGCAGACGACCCAATTCTGTATATAGAATTCCCAAGTCACATTTCTTGTAATTTGGTATGGTGCCCCAAGTCTGGTGGCCTGATGATCGTTTTTTTTTTTTTTTGCAGACTCTCTTCCTGCAGATTTTTCATTGTGACAGTCCATAACGAATCACTCGTCCTTTTAATTTATGATGACGTTGAGTGACTCTTGCTGACAGCCAGTGTGTTTTAGACTAGTGTAAGCTGGGCTGAGCATAAAACTGACTGCTTGTGTCCAGGGACTCCAGGCTCTGCAAGTGCAAAGATCACGAAAATGAGCATTGTTGGGGCTGAAGATGGAACAGCCCCCTGATAACTGGGCAAAAGGTCATTGGTGGTGGCGCATAGTGAGCGTCGATCATCGAAGAAAAGGTAAGCACAGCACAGCGATCCTCACCTTACGCCGCAGGTTCTGGCCATATTTCAGGTCATTGTCACATTCTGACTAAGCTGACTAGTTAAAGCTGGTTCCAGACTTTCAGTCTTCGTTTCGTTAAAACACAAGCGAAAGACACCTGTTACCGGTAGCAAGGCAATCCTAATAAAAAACCACCGTAGTTTTCATGGACATTAACCATTAATTATGCTGTCATTTAAGCGTTTTACTGATGCAGCAAGATAGTTATTGGAGAGAGAGTAAAATTCATATAAATCGAGTCTAAGTTAGAAACCATGTGTATAAAAAAATCAAAACATGAAGGGATGTGATTGATAGAGAACAAAGAGAGAATATATGTGATTAAATAAAAAATTGTTCGGTGTAAACTATCTATTAAGACAATGGTTTATATATGTGGTGTCTATTAAAATTAATAGATATAGAAACTAGCACAAAATTAATAGATATAGAAACTAGCACAGAGACTGCCCTTACAAGCCCAACTTAAGCGTGAGCGTTTGAACGAGGTCGACTGTACAAATCTTTACGATGTAGTATAGGAGTAATTCTAATTCGAAGCCATTTCCAAGGATTTGAACCAAAATCGCCTATCCAACAATTCGAACCCATTTCAAAGGATTTGGACCAAAATCGCCCATCCAAACGGCCACTCGATCAGTAGCTTCGAGCCTCTCGTGGGACAAGAATAGTTCATGGCGATGGCGACGAGGCGTCGGAACCGACGCCGTCGGCCCATCGCTTGACGACCTGCAGCAGGATCTCGTTCCACGTGTCGATGGGCCCGGGCAGGCACCAGTGCACACAGTCGTTGGGCATCCGATCCCTCGTCCCCTCCGCGAAAGGGAACGCCCGGGTGTACAGGCCTGGGTGCCCGTCCGGGCGCATCGCCGCCAGCCGCGTCACCTGCAGCGCCTCCACCGCCAGGCCCGCCCCGCGCGCCCTCGCGTCCGCGCCCGCCGCCGCGGCCTCCTCCACCCCGGCGCGCAGCATCTCCAGGTCCATGTACTCCATCTCCCGCTCCCCGCGCGCGTACGGCTCAGTGCGCACGCACGCGGTCGGCTGTCCCACCCCCTCAAAGTGCGCCGGCGTGAACGTCGTCACCACAGCCAGCCGGGGCGGGCGGGCGAGGAGGACGAGGAGGAGGAGGAGGACGTGGCGGCGATGCGGGTAATGACCTCGCAGAGCGCGTTGCGGACGGCGAGGCGGAACACGCCGAAGAAGCCCGTCTCCGTGCGGTTGCGCTCCGGGCAGCGGTGGCAGCCGATGACGGCGCCACGGTCGTAGAACATGGCCGAGTTCAGGTACCACTGCCCCGCCGACAGCACCACCACGTCGAATCCCGGGACCTCCGCCGCCCACCGCTCGTCGGGCTGGTCGAAGTAGATCCGGTTGTGGTCCAGCCCTCCCGCCGCCGCTGCCGGCGATTTGGGCCTCTCCGTGCCGTTCACCAGGAACGGTGACCAGAACACGGACACCGTCGCGTTGTGCGACGGGAACGCCCAGCGCCGGAACTTGCGGAGCTCGTCGCCGTCCCCGTCCCCGTCGCCGCCGCCGGCGCCGCGCACCAGCTGCGCCGGGAACGCGGAGGTGAGCAGGCACACCAGGGACTCGCACTGGTTCCGCGCGAGCGAGTCGCCCACGAAGGCCACGTGGCGACCGCGCACCGCGCTCAGGAACTCGGCGGGGTCGAACGGCGGCAGCGCGCACCCGCGCGGGCGCCACCGCCAGTAGATGTACCCCGTGTCCGGCCGCCCGTGCGCCTCGCAGTTCTGGCCGGCCTTGATCGTCTCGCCGCAGCTCGACCCATTGTACCGAGGGCCTTCCGTGGTCCGCACCCTCCCCGTCCGAGTAATCGCACCGCGCTGCCGGAGCCTCCGCCTGCTGCGTTGGTGATGGGGTGGAGGGACGCCGGTGGTGGTGGGAGGAGGGGGAAGTGGGAGGAAGAGAGAGGAGGTAGTGGAGGAGGGCGAGGGGAACGAGGGCGTAGAGCGCGAAGGCGATGGTCCGCTTGGTGAGGATGGAGGAGGAGCTGAAGTGGTGGCAAGGACAAGTACTGGAGGCACCCATGGAGATGGATCCAGCTTACCAGAGCAGCAGTGTGCGAGGTTGACGGTGGTTGAAAGGGAGAAGGCTCGAGTAATAAGACTGTCTCCGCCGGACCCAAACCCAAAATAGACCGGGAGGGTAATATGCCCGTTCGGGCCTGCTGAATCTTGGCCGAAATGGTTGAAAAATACGATTCTGATTGAATTGTTGTGAGAGAAAAATACTATTTCGACTGAAAAAACAAGCTGAATATGGGGTAAACCGAACAGGGACAAATCAGCCTGCAACATAATACCTATATGTGAGATTTATTTTTTTTTGTTACAACAGAGGTACAACCTAAATACTAGTATCCTCTCTTTTAGAGACTCATATGCAGAAATAGTTCTCTTTTAAATTCTGTTGCTGGAGAAGACAAAAATAAATATTAAATATTTTATCTGTAGCGCTAACCAAAATATAGAATAGATCTTATATTTTAAGTGACGTCGTTGGGATAGGCTTAATCCTAAGATTTTGGGGTCTCCTACTCTCTTAGCTGAGGCTGGGAGCAAGTTGAGCATGTCTTTTGTTAGGAGTAGTAGTACTGGTATATATATTGGCGACATAAAGTCATCCTAATTAGGTTCATTACGAAAGTATTTTCATATTATAATCAATTTGATTTAATAATATACTTTTGAGATATTGCTATTTAAAGGGGGGCATTCTGTAGTTAATATCCTATTAGACTTTATATTTCTAATTAGAGAAAATATGCCTAGATTTTCACTCTTGTTTCACGCATGAGTCGTACTTACAAATTTGTGTGGTGGATCCAAAGCTACAAGTTCATGCTGCATTTTATTCATGTGGATTCAAAACTACAAGGTTACATGGCATTGCATTATGTTTCGTAGGAGGATACTGACCTGGTAACTCCCACAGTACTGCAGGAGGTGCAGATCACCTGGAAAAGATGAATGGTTGCACAGTTAGCTAGCTCACGAGAGCTTTAGCAGCACGTCTGTTAACTGTAAAATCCCTTCCGTTTACTTCAAGTTTTACTACTACATACAGTCTACTCCAGAAAAAGAAAAAGGAAAACCAGAGAGGTGCCGGTGCCGCGAGGAGTACGATCATCAAGGACCTCGATCAGGCGATCTCGGCCTCGGCCTTCCCTCAGACCTCGATCGAGCAGCCATGTGCCGGGCGCTGGGCAGGCGAGGTGGCGTAGGCGTACCCGCTCCGATGCCTACCTGTGATCCCTTCCCCTTCCCTCGCACCGACGCACCGTTTTGACTTTTCACCGATCCCTACAGAGGAGTGCATGTCATTTGTATTTACTGCAACGGAAACAGGAAATGGCGACGGCACCTCGCTCGCCGCGATCCGCACCTGACGCCGCAGGTCTAGGCCCGTTTCGGGATCTCGGGAGAGTGGGAGACAGGGAGAGCGAGTGACGGGCACGTCGCCGCGCCCCGCGTGGGTCTCCGGTAATCACGGTGCCATTGTACTACCAAGTTAAATACGGAGTACGGAGTACAGTATATTATACTATGATTCAGTAATTCCTAGTAGCAGTACTTAGGTACAAGCGCAGAGGAACGTCAAAGTAATCCAAGAACATTTGTTACAGCAACACTATCGTGCCGTTCGGCTGTTCATAAAACCGGTTCGTTTGGCTTATTCTTTTTTAAGCCGGGAAAAGTATTTTTTCTCTTAATCGTTCAACCAAAACCATATTTTTTTTTCGTCACAATAATACGTAAATCTTTACGTATTTGAGAAAAAAAAAAAAACACTATCTCATCAACTCCTCTCACCGATGCCGTTTCACCTGGAATCGCTCGAAAGAATTTTAAGGTCTAAACATTCTAGTTCGAACAGTCTATACTAATTTGAACCAAACTCCAAAATCCAGACTGCCTTTCAGTCTCCTCCTGTGGCTGTGGTGAAGGTGTCTTTCATCTTTCACGGCGACGACGACGACGAGGCGTCGGCGTCGACCCCGTCGGCCCACCGCTTGACGATCTGCAGCAGGATCTCGTTCCACGTGTCGATGGGCCCGGGCAGGCACCAGTGCACGCAGTCGTTGGGCACCCGCTCCCTCGCGCCGCCGGCGAACGGGAACGGGTGCATGTACGCGCCCGGGTGCCCGTCCGCGCGCAGCCCGGCCATCCGCGTCACCTGCAGCGCCTCCACCGTCAGCCCGGCCCCGCGCGCCCGCGCGTCCGCCGCCGCCGCCGCCACCTCCTCGGCCCCGGCGCGGAGCATCTCGCCGTCCATGTACTCCATCGCCCGCTCCCCCGGCGCGTACGGCTCCGTGCGCGCGCACGCGGTGGGGCTGTCCCAGTCCCCCTCGAAGTGCGCGGGCGAGAAGGTCGTCAGCACGGCCAGCTTCGGCGCCCCGCTGCCGCCCTGCCGCCGCTGCGCCCTGGCGCCGCGGAGGACGACCTCGCGGAGCGCGCCGCGGACGGCGAGGCGGAACGCGCCGAAGAAGCCCGTCTCCGTGCGGTTGGGCTCCGGGCAGTGGTGGCACCCGACCACCGCGCCGCGGTCGTAGAAGAGCGCCGAGTGCAGGAACCAGTGCCCCGCCGAGAGCACCACCACGTCGATGCCGGGGACCTCCGCCGCCCACCGCTCGTTGGGCTGGTCCAGGTACAGCCGGTTGTGGTCCAGCCCTTTCCCTACCGCTGCTCCCTTGGCCTTCTCCGTGCCGTTCACCAGGAACGGCGACCAGATTTACGGACAACGTGGCGTTGTGCGACAGGAACGCCCAGCGCCGGAACTTGCGGAGCTCGTCGCCGTCGCCGTCCCCGTCCCCACCGCCGGCACCGCGCACCAGCTGGGCCGGGAACGCGGAGCTGAGAAGGCAGACGAGGGACTCGCACTGGTTCCGCGCCAGCGAGTCGCCCACGAAGGCGACGTGGCGGCCGCGGACGAGGCGCAGGAACTCGGCGGGGTCGAACGGTGGGAGCGCGCACCCGCGCGGCCGCCACCGCCACCGGAGGTACCCCGTGTCAGGCCGCCCGTGCGCCTCGCAGTTCTGGGCGGCCTTGATCGTCTCGCCGCAGCTCGTGCCGTTGTACAGCGGGCCCGCCTCGCTCCGCTCCCACGCCCCATCCGAGTAGTCGCACCTTGGCGCCGCGATCTTTCTTGCTGCTCCACCGGCGGCGCCCGCAGCGGCAGCGATTTTGGGCCCCTGCGGCGGTGACGGCGAGGAGGTTGTCGGGGCTGGAGATGGAGGAAGGAGAGGAGGTAGTGGAGGAGGGCGAGCAGGACCAGGGCGTATAGCGCGAACGTGATGATCCGCCTGGAGAGGAGGGATTGCTGGAAGGGGGAGCTGGAATGGTGGCGAGGAGTGGAGGCGCCCATGGAAGGCACGGGATCGAGGACCGATCCAGCTGATGCCGCTGTTCCAGACAGTCAAGGGCTCAAGGCTGTGGGGATGCGGGTGCGGATGCGGACGGGTTTTGGGGAAAGAGAAATGAGGTGGTTAAGTTTCAACGGACAGGTTGCCAAAGAAAAAGCTTCGACGGACAGGATCTATCTATGGCATTCGGCCTTTTCGCGGGTCGGTTTCTGGCTTAATAAGCTTAGCCGGTGCTGGTTTGTTGTGAGAGAAAAATATTGTTGATTGGCTGATAAGTTCAGGCTGAAATCAACAAGCGAACAGGCTGATTGGCTGAAGTTGGGTGACATTATTTGTCTCCATTTGCTCGGCTCATTTTTTTTTCCTAAAAAGGAAACTCATTGTTTGCACATTATCAAGATATATCAGTTTGAGAATGCATTCCATCCCTGGAGAAAACTCAAAAAAGCAGGTAATTAAACCTTTATTGAGGTTGAATCACTGACTTTTTTGTATTATTAGTTTTATACTTGACAGGATTTTTGGGGACTCAATCTGAAATGGGTATGCTTGACGAAAGGGATATATGATCTTGAATCTTTGAGAAGTAGAAGTGCTGAGGAGAAACCAATGGCTTGAAAAAAGTTTATTTATTTAGATAGTTAATGGATAAGATGGTTTCAGACTAAGGGGGTGTTTGATTTAGCTTTTGTCTTCAGCTTTTGCTCTCAAAAGCCCAAAAGCCACCCAAAGGGCACCTCGCCGCCCAATAGTTTTTAAAAGCGACTTTTCACGAGTTCAGATTTTTTCACGCCACCGGAGACGCCGCTTTCATTCCACCGGGGTTACTTTCAACGAAATTACCCTTGACCGCCATCGGTTATGAAGAAAGCGTTTGCGTTCTTTTCCTTCTCTTCCTTCCGCATGCGACTCGACTCGAGCCCGTCGTCATGCAAGTGGCGACGCTTTAGGCGGAGATAGGGTTTGGCGGGCACAAGATTCGTACCGATCGCGTGCCTGGCCTCCTCCGGCGCCACCGTCCCTCTCAAGATCGTCCCAGTCCTCTCTCGCGCTGAGAATCGCGGCCGCCCGCCCGTCCCAGCCTCTCGGTCCAACACGAATCCTCTGCCGGTGGCACGCCTGCCCTACCTGACTCCTCGCCTGGGCCCCCATCATCCTCCTCCTCTCTTCGGCGTGGGATTGGTCCTCTTCGCCCTCTCCGCTCTGGTTCGGCCGCCATTTCATGAGTGAAGCTGCGCCAGACCATAGCACCTACGGTCGGCGCCCCTTTCAACGACGTCAGCTTCATCGATCTATGCCTCCAGTGACCGGATCTGCAACGTAGGTACCTCAATATCCGATAAATGGTTCGATGCATGTTATTTATTCAGCACAGTGTGCTGTGTGTATGTTATAAATGATGGCATGGTATTATGGTAATTTAGAAAGTCTCAAAAAATTGCTTTGTTTGATTCAAGAATGGGTGACAAGGCAAATTAGAGTGATTTCTTTTCGAAGCATTTGATTGATATCTACAAATGGGAGATAGAAGTTGGGAATAGGCCCCTGGGACTTTTCACTAGTATTGGTTAGGAAAATCTTGTATCTAAGTTTGAAGAAAGAACCAGTGACAAGCGAACAAAGATATAATTGAAGAACAAATTAGACAACATAAAAAAGGAATATGGATGGTTCATGGAGTCCAAGAATTATGCCACCGGACTTGGATGGGGACTTGCAAAGGGGAGCTGTTGATTGCCCTCAGGAATGGTGGACCGAACACCTTGTTGTAAGAACTGAACTCTCACTATTGATATTTTTTTCATACCTTGATATGGTGTGTCTTGCTAAAATTTTTTATTCAATTTCAGAGATGCGATAACCGTAAGAAAGGACTAAAATGCAACCATGTGATGTTCGGAAAACAAGGACCGAAGTACCTTGATGATCTTGATCTAATTTTTTGCAAGGTACATGTGATTGGGGCCACTTCATCCTATCCTGGAGATATATCCTCTGATGAGGCAAGTGTTGAGGACGTGGCCGAGGTACCAAAACCTCCGGATAATGATAATGTAGCCGCTTTGAAGAAACCAGGAAAAAAGAAACGTAAAAGCTCTTGTACTGAAGACAAAGAAGAGAAGAGTCCATTTTTCGCAGGTACAAAAACACATGTTTGAAGATAGAAAGTGTAGCAGACAAGATCTCCTCAAGTGTATCTGCATCATCAGCTCCTCCAACTAATTTAATCCACACTATTGGAAAGGCTATGAAGATGGTCCAAGAGTGTGGGGTGGAAGAAGGAACTGCTCTAATGCACACTACCACCATGCTAATCACGAAACCTGAATTTAGAGAGGTCTTCGGTCATATCAAAACAAATAAAGGATGGCTAGATGTGAATTAGAGGGAGCATCTTTGAAAAGGAGATGATGAGGTGACGATGAACCAATTTTATTTTTATTGCTGTCGTGTGAACCAATTTTAATTTTATTGTTGTCGTGTGAACCAATTTTAATTTCTATTGTGAAAACTATTAGTTGTATGCAACAGTAACAAATAATTTGCTTGTCTTTGAGACTATTTGCTTGTAACACCTCGGTATTACGTCATAAATCAACTACTAAATCATGTCACGAGCATCGTGTTTGTGTAATAATGCATGTGATAGAAGGTGTTGATAAATTCTTGTAGCCTAAAATAATCAATAAAAATGTTAAATCAATGTTGATGCAATAGCTCATGTATATCAAGTAGGGTCTAAAACCAATTTTATTAAATAAAAATGCTATAGAACATATATGTGACACCTTAATAAAGTTTGAAGTACACATTTTGTAGAAGATAGTGCAACTTTTGTTTTAACAAGATAATAACGCTTAGCTAATATTTCTAATAGCATGGAAATCGAATTTGAAACAAACATCGCCCAAGACTTAGTCAATTTCCTAAGTCTGAAAAAAAACAAAATGGCATGGCTATGTTTAAGGATTTATTACGAGAAAATTAGTTAGAAAATGGTGTCACCTATAATCTCTTTTCGATAGACTAATGTGTTCTCCGTGATGTAGCAAAGGTGGTTTAGTCTCAACTCGCATGGATTAGTTGCTACACACGCTTTAAAAATTGTGCACGTCGCATGTCTTGGGTGGGCCGTCCTGTGGTGCGCGGTCACCTCGGCGGGAATTCAGCGTCGCTGCTTTGGTGCACCACGTGCACGCGCGACCGCCGTAGCGTTATTAACCCGATCGAGGCCGTCTCGCTTTGGGCGTGGCTCGGTTGTGCCTTGGCCGCTCTGGCCACAGCGCCTGCTACCAATCGGCCACGGGCCACGGTGCCCATTGCCGCCATTGCCGCCCTACACACCGCTTCCCCGCCTAGCTCGTGATGTCGCGCATCGCTTGTTGCCTCTGCCTCGCACTCATCGAAATAAGTTGTGACCCTTCCCCGTTGTGTTGTGAATGGGCTTGCCTCCTTCCCTGTCACCATGCGCGACGCGCTCCGCCATTAATGGAGTATGTAGCCGCATTCACGCCGTACCCTACCCCACCGCACGCGCATGTTTTGGCTTTGGCGCCCAGAGCGCGTGTCACCCTGGTCACGTTGGTCGGCGTCCGCCAAGCCAACGTCGGCGTCGAGTTCGATGATTTCCCCCCTCTCTCTCTCTCCCACCATGCCGTGAGCCACGACTTTAAGTGTCGAGGGAAAGGTCATCTCTCGTCGCGTCGTGGAGTCTATAGCGCCGCCATCAAACCGCCTAGCCGGCTGTCCTCACCCGACCTTGATTGGCACCGGCCGAGCTCAATTTTGGAGCTTATGCCGCCACCCGTGTCGTTAAGGCCGAGCCACCCATCACCGTGGGACAGCTCCCATCGGACCGTCTGCTGACCAAATTGGTCGCACCGTTAGACTTCGCCTCAAACCCCTCATCACCATGCGTACACGAGCCATTACTTCTACCGTTGTCCCAATGCTGCTGACGCATTCATGTCTGTCGTGGCTCATCGCCGAGCTCGCCACGTGTACGCGGCCAGCCTTGCTCGGGGTGTCTTCGGCCGAACCATCGCCAGGACCATGGTGAGTCCCTGATACTCACTCGCTATCGCTATTGCCCATGAGTGTAGTGTAGCACCACCGAACACGACCGCCACCTCTGTAGGTTGCCCGACGCCGTGGGAAAGCCGTCGTACCTCGTCTCTGGCCTCCGAACCGTGGCCCGGTGCCACGCGTCGACCCCTAGGTGAGCATCGACCCTCTAGGTGAGGCGTGGAGGTCCCCAGTCGACCGGTGTGACCACCCTATGCTGGTCGATGCCGCGCCGGTGAGCGCGAGGGTGTCGGGGACCTATCCGTTGTAAAGAAGAGGAAATGCGAGGGCCTTTATGCATAAGGGTTGTCTCTAGGAATAGTAGGGTGGACCGCGGGTTGTTTATCCAAAAGCCAAGGGCTTTTCTGCAAGAGCGTCAGCGTGCCTGTGGGCTCCCCGCGTGGGCCGTCTTCGCGCGCAGGCCAGGCCCGAGTTGGGCCACGTTGGGCTGTTTTGGTCTTTTTCTTTTTCTAGCTGAATTAGTAAAGCTTTTCTATTTCAATTCTGAGTTAGATTTGTATATTTAATAAAAATTCGTACGAATGTCCAAAAATCGTGAAATAAATTTTGTTAGGTTCCTAAAATTGTGATATATCTGCTAGTATATTTCGTTCACATAGTTTTATAATACTTTTAGGAGTTATATAATTAATTTGAGATGCTTAATATTGTAAGATATAAATTTGAAGGATTTTTTGTGATAAATTGGTGATAGTGTTGGCTCTGAAACTTTCACAGTAAATCCCTAACATTATTAGGTGTTCACTGTAATTTTTGTAGATCCATAATAATTAGTTTGCTAAGATAGTTAAATGAGCCCTAGTTCGAAAATATATATTTAATCAATAAAATGCCAAAGCACCTTGGGATTTTAAAACTAGAATATTTTTTTGGAGACAAAGCCTTACTTGACGATGTGGATACGGAGACCAGTATG